TCAAAGTGGATTTTTTCCCAATTTCTTGCTTAAGTCTCTTAGCTGTCAGTATAGGAAAAGGAGAAAACCAAATCTTTTCCCTTTTCTCTCTCCTTTGCAGCTTAAAAATCTTAGGGAACAATGTTATTGTTTTTTAACAGTTTCAATTCCAGGGTACCTTGCTTGTTGCTTTTGCTGTTTGACCCGGTCAACCAAAACTTTCTCTTCTTATCTTCCTCCTGCACATTCTTTTCCGGTCAAGTTCTTCTTTGTGGTGGCCATTTCTGACCACCACTGCAACCGCCTTCGGGAAAGGGAGTAATGGCCAGCTGGGGAGGAGAGAGGCAGCTCTCCTCAACCTTGCTGGCAGTCTCCCCCCTCTTCACCACCTCTATGTGGTGGCTTAGCCTCAAAACCAGCCGGCTCGGGGCGCTCCAGCGGCGAGCACGGATCGAAGCCTCACAGAGACGAGGTTTCGGTCTGTCGCTGAAGAAGCTCAAACCGGAAGTCCCAATACCTGATTTATTTTTATCTTCTTAAGCAGAATTTTTCTTCTAAAAAAAAAAAAATCATCATTGATGATGCACTTGCCAACCCCTACTTATTTTTCCATAACTGATGACATTTTCTTTCAGTGTTTTTTGTTGACTAAATACATACTTCCGTGTGAATCTGTATCAAGGTTTTTGTAGTCTTCAAGTTGGACGACCATTTGTGTGAAATAGTATACAGGGTCTTCTGCTTGAGGAGGGGGTTGGACTAGAAGACCTCAAAGCACCCTTCCAATTCTCTTATTCTGATTCTGACTTCTTCTTCCTAAAGCGTGGATTAAAATTAAAATTTAAAATTAAGAGTTACAGCTTGATAGAAAAGGTATTTAAAGAGCCTATTAGTCCATTCTGTAGTCTTTCAAAATTGCACTGGGAAGGCATTTTCTCATGTTAAAATGAAGAATGAAAGGGGCATGTATGTATGTACACCACCACACACCACTACATACATACATGCAAATTGATGTTCTTCAGATAATGTATATAGCTCAAAGTTGATGTCACTGGATTCAGTGGGGCTTATTCCCAAATAACTACTTACAGTTTTCCAACTTAAGAGTTTATCCAGCAAGTATTAAATAAAAAGATAGCAAAATTAACCTACCATTCTAAGATAAGACAGCACAATAATTTGGTAGAAGACCAAGAATTTCAGTATAGTACCAGGTGGCAAAATGTCAAAATTCTTAAAGCCGCTTAGTTCTATTTTATTGCTTTTGTAAGCACTTAGTTCATATATTTTATTGCTTTTGTAAGTAGTCCTTAAGTCCATTTTTTGAATGGAGGGAGGGAAGGAAGGAAGGAAGGATGGAAGGAATAGAGGGAGTTTGATTTAGTGGTCAAAACATGAAGCCAGAAACCAGGAGACCGTGAATTCTAATCCCACCTTAGCCATGAAAGCCAGCTCAATGAACTTGGGTGAATCACTCTGTCACAGCCCAAATAACCTCATAGAGTTGTTATTGTGGGGAAAACAGGAAAAAGAAGGTGTGGTTGGATATGTTCACTATCTTGAGTTATTTGTAATTATAATAAAGGCAAGCAGGCAGGAATATGGAAGCAACCAACTTGTCCTTATTCCGTATGAGAAGCTTGATTGGATTAGGAGAGCAAAATATACTCTTCGCAAATGGCTACAGATTTAGTTACCAATATTACTTTCCCCAACTTGGGTTCTTTACAGAGTTTTGAGCTTCAGTTCCCAGAATCCTTTCCAATGATCATGCTGGCTGGAGAATACTTGCAAATACTGCAAAATCATCATATACAATAACTACCACAATTGGTCCTCTGAAAATAAGTCCCTGTCTTATATATTTTTGCCACCAAAAAAAGGCACCAGGTCTTATTTTCAGGGGATGTTATCCGCTGACTAACTTCACGTGCGTGCGTCACCCTGTCCTCCTTGTGCTGTCGGAGGCCTTCAGGAACTTCTTCTGCAGGATCGATCTGGAGCTTTGTTATCAGCTACAAAGGCCTTCAAGAAAGCCTTGCCGGCTTTAGAAGAAATGGGCCGGCAAGGCAGGTGAGTGTGCAAGGCCTGGCTACAACTATCAAGGTAAATAGTAGAGAAGTTCCACCACCACCACCACCATCCCTATCCTAGCTTAATTTTTACCCATGCACTCTGGAGTGGGCAGGATTTTAATTAGGGCTTATTTCAGGGGGCACAGCTTATATTGGGTCCATGTGTAATAATCAAGCTAGAACTTTCAGGGTAGGTTGCATTTTCAGGAAAACAGGATGGTAAATGGGCTTTATTCCTTAACCATTACTACTACAGAGTAAATACGATCACACCTGATTGCACCTTCTTACTGACTGAAGATGCATCTCATATTTTTGTTTCTGCGTACCTGGAACTGTGAGAAGTTTCATTCAAGCTTCCCCGTAGGTCACCTTTAGCAAAAAAAAAAGTCTCTTACTGTTCACATCAAAGGGCAAAAGGAGTATCCATTGTGTCTGCTCATTAGAAAGATACTGACAAAGTAAAGGACAAAATCATTTCCATCGTTTTAAAATAAGGCCATCAAAAGCAGCCGCGGACAGCGATACTCATAATGGCTTCGCGATATTATTTATAGCTGCAGAGCTTCTGAGCCTCCCATAAATGTTCAGCCGCGTTTAACTAAATAGGAGCTTTGTGCTGCAGCTTGTTTTGTACGGGTAATCTTTGACTTACAACAGTTCATTTAGTGACCGTTCAAAGTTACAACAACACTGAAAAAATGTGACCTATGGCCATTTTTCACACTCATGACCATTGCAGCATTCCCCACGGTCACATGATCAAAATTTAGATGCTTGGGAACTGACTCATATTTATGACGGTTGCAGTGTCCTGGGGTCATGTGATCCTCTTTTGCGACCTTCTGACAAGCAAAGTCCATGGGGAAGCCAGATTCACTTACAACCGGGTTACTAACTTAATAACCGTAACTAACTTAATAACTAACAATTCACTTAACTGTGGCAAGAAAGATTGTAAAATGGGGGAAACCTCATTTAACTAATGTTTCACTTAGCAACATAAATTTTCAGCTCAGTTGTGATCATATTCTGGTTCTTGCTCTTCTGGTTGCCTCAAACATTGTTATTTGATGCTGTTGTAGTGTCCCTTTCATGTTGTCTCTTCATCTTCTGGGTTTACCTCATGTTCTTTTTGCATATGCATTGTTTGTGTCATGCCCCTGGTGGAGACTGACTCTGGAGGAGAGGAGGAACAGCTGACAGGGAGTGATGGTGTGGCTCCGGAGGTGGTGGAGGAGGCTGGGGAAGGGCAGAGGCCAGCTGAGCAGTCAGAGGAGGACCCAGGCCCATCCCCTCTCCATCCTAGGGCACACAGGGAGGAGAGGATAAGGGAGATGTGGTCTACTCAGGAGGAGAGGGCCTTGACCCTCTTCATGGGCTGCAGCTGTGACAACCGAATAAGAGGTTGGACATGTGTACAGGCGAACACTGGAAACAAAGCATGGAAATATCTCTAGTTTATGGTTCCTCTCTGAGTTTGGTGTCCTTCCCAGTGTGTGTTATCTCTGGACATCCTCCAGCCCTTATCTTGCCTGGTTTGTGTTGCTTATTTCCTTCTTCTTGTGTAGGAGTTTGTGTGGGAGTTTTTTTTTTTTGCTTCCATCAAGAATATTCGGAGCTTGGAAGCAAAGTGAGGGAATAAAAGGGGCTTCACCTGTTTTCTGTGACTGTGTTTGTTTTGTATACTACCCTGGGTCATGACAGTATGGTATGGAATCACAAGACAAGAAATCCAAAGAGATATCATTGGTATTAAGGAAGGAAGGAAGGAAGGAAGGAAGGAAGGAAGGAAGGAAGGAAGGGTTGAAAAACATGATTTGGCCACACTGTTTTCATTCTTCAGTTTGTAGAACCTCAGACTTTCCATATTTCATTATATATCCTAAAGAAATCTGTCAAAGAAGAACATCCTTTCACAAACTATTGGAGAATTTCTCCTTTCCCTCCAGGAACGTGGAGAAATTTGATGGAGAATTTTCTACCTAGCTTTAACTTGAAACTTTAAAACTTAGTTATGGCTAAATACCCTCCTGGAGCAGTGCAATATAATTTTTAATATAAAAACCCCACACACACAATAAAGAAGGAACTTACAAAATTAATCACAACTGTCAAATTAAGAACTAAAAACCGATGTAATAAAAAGGCATAGCAAAAAGTTTATATGATAGGCAAACTAATCCTGAACAGAGATAAATCAAGAAGAAACTAGAACTATTACAAAATTATCATTCTGAATAGGAGGCTTTGTTTTTTTGTATCTCCTCTCTGGCACGGCTGAAGGAAGGGCACCTTGTCAAGGGTAAAGGTGCTTCTATGCTGGCATGAACCAATTTTGTGAGGTATTAGGTAGGCTTTAGAAGCCATCTTATCCACTGGCCATTATCAAGATCGGAGCTCTGCTCAGTTTAGCACTCTGCAGCCATAACACATTGTTTAATGAGCAACGTTGCCTGGACATAGCCCCTTTTTATTATTCCTTGTGGAGAAAAACCATATGTCTTTCATTTGCTTAACAGAGAATTCATCCAGAAAGACTTATCTGCCACTGTTGGGGGGGGAGTGGGAGTCCTCAAGTAAGAAGACCATTTGAAACCAGTAGGTAGAAATTAAGGCCAGATTCTCTCTTCTGCCTTCATTGTTCCTGATTCAAGATATAAGGTTACTTTGGGGACATAACAAGGTATCTGAAATATCCTGAAGAATTTGGACTGGACGGAACCCAGAGGGCAAAGCTGAGGAATGATCTAACCTGTACGCCATAGCTGAAAGGAGCCGAAGATTTGGCTTGGAATAATTCGAGGACATCTAGAAGGAAGCATGGAGTGGTGCAGTGGCCTAGAGGTGGAGCTCTCACCTCACAATCAGGAGGCTGTGAGTTCGATCCTTGGTAGACGCAGATTTTTCTCTCTCTAGGCACACTGGGGATATATATCTGCTGAACAAAACTCCGTGTTGGACAAAGGAAAGGCATCCGGCCATTGAAACATTCTGCTAGCTCTGTTCGGTTGCCCAGACACCACCCTTCAAGGGATTATGGGGTCGTTAAAAGATAGTGATGGTGATGATCTGGCTGGAAGGAAGCATCTCCTACTCTGTCCAGTAAAAGAACAAGTTGGATACCGAGCAATTTTGTGGATACAGAATAACAGAATTGGAAGGGACCTTGGAGGTCTTCTAGTCCACCACTGAGCTCATGTAGGAAATCCTATAGTACCATTTCAGACAAATGGTTGTGTAATCTCTTCTTGAAAACTTCAAGTGATGGAGCACCTTCAGCTTCAGAGGAGAAGCTGTTCCACTGATTCACTCCCTATTTCTAGATTGGAACAGTCTTTCCATTATGTTTTCATCCATTGCTTCTTTTCCTCCTTTCAGGTATTTTGGGGAATAGTTGTCCCATTTTTTTGTGACAGCCCCTTAAATGTTGGGTGATTGCTATCATGTCATCCCTAGCCCTTCTCTTCAGTAGACTATGCATACCCAGTTCCTGCAACCATTCATCATGTTTCAGCTCCCAGACCCCTAATCATCCTTGTTGCTCTTCTCTGCACTCTTTCCACTCTCAACATCTTTTTTGTATTGTGACCAGAACTGGGTGCAGTATTCAGTGTGAACTTACCAAGGCAGTATATATAAGGAAGCACATGTGGCATGTGCTCTCTGATTGTGTGCTAACATTTCTTGCGGTTAGCCGGCAGCAGGTGCGGACGGCTGAAGAGAGCGAGGACTCAGATGAGGGGTCAGGACCATTAGGGAGTGGACTGCTGCCTTCAGAGATTGTGGGGGCTGACAGCAGTGAAAAGGAGGTTCCCGAGGAGCCTGTGCCAAGTGCGTGTGTGTGCAGGATTGCTCGGAGGAAAGAGCAGCTACAACAGCATGGACGACTCGGGAGTAAGGCTGCAAGGTAATGGCCCCCTCCTTCAAGAAGATAAAAGCCAGCTGTAAATGAACATACTTTGCAGAAGGCAAAAACGTTTTGAAACTCCAGCCTCATGGACATTCCAGTATCCTGAGTTTGTATTTGAAGATTCTTGTATTGCAAATTATTTCTTGTCCGTTATCTTTTGGCAAGTCTTGCACAGTTTGGCAAGGCTTGTGCTTATCACAGCTAATTATTTTGCAAAAGCATTGCAAGGTTTCTGTTTTATTTGGATTGTGTTTGATTTGTTGGAAAAGGGCGTGGGTCAGAACACATTGCTGCTCAGGTGAAGGCCAAAAGGAAGGGACAAAATGAGATGATGAAAGCAGTCCCACCTCTTCCCTGTGAACAATATCGTATGACACAATCCGTGCCATACGGTTGGTCTAATAGGAATTTGGAAATACAGTGGAAATACAAATGGAAGAGAGCTGCTTACTTTCCCCAGTCTTCTCCATCAAGAACTTAGGATATGCCTGTAACCCTTCTACCCACTCACCTCCGTTATCAAATCGAGTGTAGGTGATGCGACTTCTACATTATTCTTCCTCCAAACTATATTCTTACCTTTTTTTTTTTTTCACCATAACCTAGTGACACATTAGGCTGAAAGACTGTGTTTATGTTATAATTTTAACCTGAAAAATTATTTTGGGTTAATACTTTTGGGCTAAGTGGCCAAATGCAGGATTTTTAAGCAACTTTTTCTATCTGGATCTGCATCTATTGGCGGTTCTGAGATCCCTTCATTGTAGACAAGATAGACTGAATTAAGCATGAAATGGCATCTTCCTTCCTTCCTTCCTTCCTTCCTCCCTTCCTTCCTTCCTTCCTTCCATCCATCCTTCCCAGGAAGAAGATATAATTTTTAATATGGTACAACGAAAGTGGTCATCACTGTTTGTTGTGTTAATTTGTTAAAGAAAGGTTATATTTCAAAAAGTGCTGAGCTCTTCTCTTCCCACAAAGAGTTAATAAAATATAGGGACTGGGTGACATGCTATTAATGTTCCTGTCATTCTAGATTTATTCTTCTCCCTGGGTAACATCAACTATTAAATACCATTCTTTTCCTCCTCGTATATTGTATGTGATGTCACTTCTGTGTGCTGGGCCTTTTTATTGGTGTATATCATCACCTTCTTTGTAATTGACCTAGCATTGAACAATTTTCTTTTTTTCTTCTGTGGGGAAAAGGTTCCTGGGAATAACAATGGGTCAAATCCACCTCATCGAAGTCAACTCCAGTACTTCAGATAGTTCTGTCGTTGGCTGCCCTATCCTCTGAGTTGTCAAACCAGTTTTGGTTTTTTGGCCTCGGAGAGCAAAATATAAATCAGCACTTTTGATTTAATAAGTTTCATACAATTTCTGCATTTTCTATTCAATTGTACTTTCATAAGGAACTGTGCAGTTCAGGAACAAGGCACCCAGCATACTTCTAGTGCTAAAAGAAAGCTTCTCAGACTGATTTTCCCTTTGTATGGAAAACCCATTATACTGGAACCGGTGCAAGAAAGCTAACTTGCCTTGTTACTTCCAATATGTTGGATGTTCCTGAAGTTGCAGGGGTCTCCAAACTTGGCCAAAACTTTTAAGATTTGTGGACTTCAACTCCCAGAATGCTATATTCATCTCCCAGAATTCCCCAGCTACGCTAGCTGGGGAATTCTGGGAGTTAGTCCACAAGTCTCACAATTGCCACGTTTGGAGACTCCTGCTTTAGTTTATAACAAACTAAACCTTAGATCTGAGTTACCAAGCACACATCCCAATGTGTGTTGCCCAAATTAATCAACCACTTATGAGAAGAGGCAGGATGGATCAGAAGACTGGGCATTTGGATTCAACTAAAAAAATCCATCTTCGGCATCTGGCCTTCTAAAGAGCAGCCAGGGTTGATCTCCTCTAGGACTGACCGGTTTGATCGCCTTGCAGTCCAAGGGACTCGCAGGAGTCTTCTCCAGCACCAGAGTTCAAAGGCCTCCATCTTTGGTGCTGAGTCTTCCTTATGGTCCAACTTTCACAGCCATACATTGCAACTGGGAAAACCATAGCCTTGACTATATGCATTTTTGTTGGCAGGGTGATGTCTCTGCTTTTTAGTATGCTGTCTAGATTTGCCATAGCTTTCCTCCCCAGGAGCAAGCATCTTTTAATTTCTTGGCTGTCATCCCCATCTGCAGTGATCTTGGAGCCCAGGAAAATAAAATCTGTCAATGCCTCCATTTCTTCACTGCAACAGTCGGCGTGAGCTTAAATGAACTCCGGGGGATGGTAGAGGACAGGAAGGCCTGAAGGAACATTGTCCATGGGGTTGTGATGGGTTGGACATGACTTCACAGCTAACAACAACAACAACAACATTGAGGGCTGCATCAGGGTTGTGTTGGACCTCTGGGGGTGGCCAGCTCGATGTCACTCATGTTGGGAGGGGGAGGTCTGTGATGGCCTGAGTACTCTGCCAGCGAAAACAGGCTCCCGAGCTCCATTTTCGGCTGCGACGGCCTCCGGCAACCCCCGGCCAGCAAAAATGGAGCTCCAGCCAATCAGAACACGGCCAACCCCCCAACCAATCAGAACACAGCCAAACCCCCTACCAATGAGAACACACCCCCACCCAATCAGAACACAGCCAAGCCCCCACCCAATCAAGTCACACCCCCACTAGCAGTTAAAAGGAAGAAGCAGCTGCAATCTCACATCACTCTGAGAAGCACAGAGCCGAAGACAGAAGCCTGAAGATGATGAATGAGACTTCATCGAAACGTTGCCTAGATACTTCGAATCTTACGTGGGAGAAAACCCGAACAACCAAAGATCCACATATTTATATTTATATTTATATGTATGTATGTATATATGTGTGTGTGTGTGTGTGTGTATATATTTTTCTTAAGTTTTCGCGGGTACTTACATGTATGGTATTCAGCTTTGTTCGGATATTTTCCCACGTCATTATTTTCTTGTGTTGTAGCTCCATGGGCAGTACTGACCAATAACTAAATTAATGCTACAATATATATATATATATATATCCTTTTTTTAAAAAAAACTGTCTTTTTTCTCTTTCTTTCTCTCTCTCCCCACATCCCTGAACAAGAATCAGGATTTCATAATACCTTATCCGGCTCTTGCTGCGGAAAAGTGTCATTCCCTAATTTGCCAGATCATGGGGGCATGGAGGAAAGGCTTTTGTATATTTTAGATTTCTTTTTCTGAAATATTTCTCTCTGACCCATGGTTGGCGTTGCTTGACCATGTAAAGGACTGCATTGATCCCTGAATATCAAACATTTCTTTTACTTAACAAAATAGAATCAAGTGCAAAAAGGAATGTAAAAATCACAGAGGAAAAAAGGAAAAAAGAAGAAAGCAAGGCAACAAAAATTATATTGTGTTCTGCTTTCATACAATACTTTTGATAGAGAATGATCACATTTCACGGCAAAAGCTTTCTGTTCCTATTGAAATAAAATAAAATGAAACAATCCCACCCTGGCCCTGGTTGCTGTTTGGTTAACCTGGCTTACTGAACTACTCGCAGCCAGAGGCTTCTGAAGGTGCACGTGAGAGTTTTGTTCCAGGACTTGTAGTGAATGTGGGACAGTGTTTGGGGGCACAGTTCTCTGGTTGTGTTGGTTGAGCTGAGAGAGAATGTCTGATCCATCATCATCCAACCAGCTTTCATGGCTAAGGCGGGACTAGAACTCATAGTCTCCTAATGATTGGCCCAAAGTCATCCAACCAGCTTTCATGCCTAAGGCA